GAGACACAGAGAGAGAGATAGGAGAGAGACAGAGAGAGAGAGAGACAACAAGAGAGAAGAGACACATAGAGAGAGAGAGATAGGAGAGAGACAGAGAGAGAGGAGACACAGAGAGAGTGACAGAGATAGGAGAGAGAGAGAGAGAGAGAGAGAGACACACAGAGAGAGAAGAGACATAGAGAGAGACAACAAGAGAGGAGAGACACACAGAGAGAGAGACAACAAGAGAGAGAAGAGACACACAGAGAGAGACAGAGAGAGATAGGAGAGAGAAAGCAAGAGAGAGAGAGAGACAACAAGAGAGAGAAGAGACACAGAGAGAGAGCGCGACAGAGAGAGCAAGAGACAGAGAGAGAGACGAGAGGGAAGAGTCCTTTTTCTACCCAGAAATGACCTCAAAACTTAAAAGAAAAACTCATAATAAAAAAGTTCAAGAACCAAAAATGATGTAAAATGATTAAACTACTTTCCTTGGATGCCACACAGCCATAGCACTGCTGACTTACTGCATATATACATTAACTACAGGCACTTTTGGGGATTTCTCCGTGATTTTGTTGAGGATTTGAAAGCTTCCTCATATATTCCGAAGGAGAAGAAATGTTAAAAAAACCACTCTCTGCTCTGATCAAGGTGAGCCGCGGTGAGAGCGGGGCTGAGGGGACTCTCTGTGGGCAAACTCAAAGTTAAAAAAGGCTGAGGTGTACCTGGGAAATGCATGGCGTGGGGATTGGGGATTTGACTCAAAGTTTCCCCCTGTTTCTATCTTGGGCATACAAGCCAGAGGCGCTCACTAAAAGTCCTGAATTCGTTTAACTTTGGTTCACGTGGGGACTTAAAGAGAAGGGAGCCGGCGATGTCCAGGGACCGTGGTCGTTCAACCGCCGCCGTGTCCCTCTGAGTTTACAAATCGAGCACTGTGTAAGACTTATGTGCTACATCTGGTTTTTTGAGGGCTTGCGTACGGGGCGTAACACATACTGCTGAGTTTATGGGGCCGCGATACGGGTTTGTTTGATCCGTCTAAATGCTTTTTCACTTCACTCTCTTCAAGATTCAAGACGTGATTTACAGCCATTTGAAGAAAAAGCAAAAGAGAGACAGAGAAAGAGAGAAACAGAGAGAGACGGAGACAGAGACAGACGGAGAGACGAGACAGAGAGAGAGAGAGAGACAGAGAGAAAAAGAGAAAGAGACAGAGAGAGAGAGAGAGAGATAGAGAGAGACAGAGAGAGATAGAGAGACGGAGACAGGGAGACAGACGGAGAGACGAGACAGAGATAGAGAGAAAAAGAGAGAGAGACAGAGAGAGAAAGAGAGAGAGAGACGGAGACAGGGAGACAGAGACAGACGGAGAGACGAGACAGAGAGAGAGAGAGAAAGAGAGACAGAGAGAAAAAGAGAGAGACAGAGAGAGAAAGAGAGAGAGAGACGGAGACAGGGAGACAGAGACAGACGGAGAGACGAGACAGAGAGAGAGAGAGAAAGAGAGAGCGAGAGAGACAGAGAGAGATAGAGAGACAGAGACAGGGAGACAGACGGAGAGACGAGACAGAGAGAGAGACAGAGAGAGAAAGAGACGGAGACAGACGGAGAGACGAGACAGAGAGAGAAAGAGAGACGGAGACAGAGACAGACGGAGAGACGAGACAGAGAGAGAGAGAGACAGAGAGAGAGAGAGAGAGAGACAGAGAGAGATAGAGAGACGGAGACAGGGAGACAGACGGAGAGACGAGACAGAGAGAGAGACAGAGAGAAAAAGAGAGAGAGAGAGAGACAGAGAGAGAAAGAGAGACGGAGACAGGGAGACAGAGAGAGACAGAGAGAGATAGAGAGACAGAGACAGGGAGACAGACGGAGAGACGAGACAGAGAGACAGAGAGACAGAGAGAGAGACAGAGAGAGATAGAGAGACGGAGACAGGGAGACAGACGGAGAGACGAGACAGAGAGAGAGACAGAGAGAAAAAGAGAGAGAGAGAGAGACAGAGAGAGAAAGAGAGACGGAGACAGGGAGACAGAGAGAGACAGAGAGAGATAGAGAGACAGGGAGACAGACGGAGAGACGAGACAGAGAGAGAGACAGAGAGAGAAAGAGAGACAGAGACAGGGAGACAGAGACAGACGGAGAGACGAGACAGAGAGACAGAGAGAGAGACAGAGAGAGAGAGAGAGAGACAGAGAGAGAAAGAGAGACAGAGACAGGGAGACAGAGACAGACGGAGAGACGAGACAGAGAGAGAGACAGAGAGAGATAGAGAGACGGAGACAGGGAGACAGACGGAGAGACGAGACAGAGAGAGAGACAGAGAGAGAGAGAGAAAACCATCACCAAAAAACTGAGCAAGACTATACCGCCAGTGTGCAGATTTTTCCAAAAAGAGGATAAAATCTCAATGGGACATTCCTGGTCAAATAAAGGTGAACTAAATAACACATTTTTTGAAAAAGAGTCTATTGTTATGAACTTCGGCCTCGGCCAATGGGATGGGAAATGATTTAGCCTGGCCTTAGCCTCAATTACCATTTCCTCCCAGCACGGGAGGCGGGTGTTGTAGTGAGATGTGGGTGACCGCGATACGGGTTTGTTTGATCCGTCTAAATGCTTTTTCACTTCACTCTCTTCAAGATTCAAGACGTGATTTACAGCCATTTGAAGAAAAAGCAAAAGAGAGACAGAGAAAGAGAGAAACAGAGAGAGAGAGAGACGGAGACAGAGACAGACGGAGAGACGAGACAGAGAGAGAGAGAGAGACAGAGAGAAAAAGAGAAAGAGACAGAGAGAGAGAGAGAGAGAGATAGAGAGAGACAGAGAGAGATAGAGAGACGGAGACAGGGAGACAGACGGAGAGACGAGACAGAGATAGAGAGAAAAAGAGAAAGAGACAGAGAGAGAAAGAGAGAGAGAGACGGAGACAGGGAGACAGAGACAGACGGAGAGACGAGACAGAGAGAGAGAGAGAAAGAGAGACAGAGAGAAAAAGAGAGAGACAGAGAGAGAAAGAGAGAGAGAGACGGAGACAGGGAGACAGAGACAGACTGAGAGACGAGACAGAGAGAGAGAGAGAAAGAGAGAGCGAGAGAGACAGAGAGAGATAGAGAGACAGAGACAGGGAGACAGACGGAGAGACGAGACAGAGAGAAAGACAGAGAGAGAAAGAGCCGGAGACAGACGGAGAGACGAGACAGAGAGAGAAAGAGAGACGGAGACAGGGAGACAGAGACAGACGGAGAGACGAGACAGAGAGAGAAAGAGAGACGGAGACAGGGAGACAGAGACAGACGGAGAGACGAGACAGAGAGAGAGAGAGACAGAGAGAGAGAGAGAGAGAGACAGAGAGAGATAGAGAGACGGAGACAGGGAGACAGACGGAGAGACGAGACAGAGAGAGAGACAGAGAGAAAAAGAGAGAGAGAGAGAGACAGAGAGAGAAAGAGAGACGGAGACAGGGAGACAGAGAGAGACAGAGAGAGATAGAGAGACAGAGACAGGGAGACAGACGGAGAGACGAGACAGAGAGACAGAGAGACAGAGAGAGAGACAGAGAGAGATAGAGAGACGGAGACAGGGAGACAGACGGAGAGACGAGACAGAGAGAGAGACAGAGAGAAAAAGAGAGAGAGAGAGAGACAGAGAGAGAAAGAGAGACGGAGACAGGGAGACAGAGAGAGACAGAGAGAGATAGAGAGACAGGGAGACAGACGGAGAGACGAGACAGAGAGAGAGACAGAGAGAGAAAGAGAGACAGAGACAGGGAGACAGAGACAGACGGAGAGACGAGACAGAGAGACAGAGAGAGAGACAGAGAGAGAGAGAGAGAGACAGAGAGAGAAAGAGAGACAGAGACAGGGAGACAGAGACAGACGGAGAGACGAGACAGAGAGAGAGACAGAGAGAGATAGAGAGACGGAGACAGGGAGACAGACGGAGAGACGAGACAGAGAGAGAGACAGAGAGAGAGAGAGAAAACCATCACCAAAAAACTGAGCAAGACTATACCGCCAGTGTGCAGATTTTTCCAAAAAGAGGATAAAATCTCAATGGGACATTCCTGGTCAAATAAAGGTGAACTAAATAACACATTTTTTGAAAAAGAGTCTATTGTTATGAAC